TTCCTTCCTTCCCTCTTCATTCTTTCTTCTTCCTTCCCCCCTTTCCTTATTTTCCCTTCCTTGCTTTCTTCCCATCTTTTTCTTTGCCTTTCCTCTTTTCCTTTCTCCTTTCCTGCCCCTTCTTTCATGCTCAAATGCAAAAGGGGAAACATTTTTCCTTTTGTTTTGTTTTTAGTCTGTTTTGATAGTCCTTTTTTTTTTTAAAATGATCTAGTTGCCTCCGTGTTAAAAGTTTGTCCCCCCCCCCCCCCTTCGAATGGTATGGGTGTTGTGTGCTTTTAAATTGTGTAATGTCCTGTTCGTCTTTTTTATCCCTTATCTGTATCCCCTTCCCTGACTTGGATTGTGAGCTGCCCTGAGTCCCCTTCGGGGAAAAGTGCAGCATATAAATGCAATAAATTCAATTCAATTCAATCCCAAACTGAATTGGAGAAAACGATTAAATGTTTTTCTGTGCAAAAAAGAAAAGAAAAAGCATCATCTGATTAAGTCAGAGAACTAACAGGACATCTAACAGAACTAACAGTCATCTATTCCCCATCTGAGACATAACTGCAAATGGATATTTTGCATACCTTTAATGTTTAGGTTTCCCATGGGAAACCTAAATTTCATTGCAGCTTCTCAGGGGAGGGGTTTCCTCTGTGACCCGCTACATAAATCAAACGACAGCTGCAAATTCTGCCATTTCCTGCAGATAACCTGATTCTATGAAGCCCGGGGAGAGCTGAGCTAGGGAGGGGTAATAAATCAATTCTGGTGCGACTTGTCACCTAACGATTGATGCCATGAGTTATGTGTGTATGATTAGGTCACGCAAAATGCATTTTTAAAAATAATAATAATAATAACAGAGCTGGCGTCCCCTGTGAAAGATTTACCGGATCGGTAGCTGAAGAGAGACATTTCTGGATCAAAGCTTCAAAAGTGGTCTTTAGGATAAGGTGTTCCTCAGGAATGGGCTTTTTGGTTATCTTCTCCGTGGGCAGGGACTGCATGTGCTGGAGAGAGAAAGAAATAATTGAAGATTTTTTGGGGTGGGTGGGTGGGGGGGTTGTGTGTCCTCAGCCTTTTTCCAGTGGGAGCGGGCTTGATGGTTCCTTGATTGGGCTGTTGTTTATGGTTCGTTTCTTTGGCAGATCTTGCTAAGGGTCAAGCCATTACAATATAAAATGAGAGCAAATTCCCACTCCCTACTAGCACTGATGGTGTTACCTAATTTGGTAACGAAACGTCTGCAAGAAAAAAAACCAAGCTCAGAGAGCACCATGGGCCCCATATTTCAATCCTAGAGATGTTCTTGTTATGGCCCACAAGTGGCCAACGGAGCTGGCAGCAGAGTCAGACAGTGAAGGGGTTGGGGAGGAACACGGGCCAGTCCTGGAGTCTGGGGAAGGCTCTGTTATCGGAGGCAGAGAGGGGGCCAGAGCCATATGCCAGTTATCAGCTGCCTTCAGA